TCGGATCAGTATCGCCGATACCACCCTGAATATTACTTGGTATCGGATCGGAAAGAAAATCAGTGGTATCGCACATCACTACTCCACGGAATGTTGCAGGAAATCGAGGAAAATGGCAGACTACCACCAAATATGAACTCTGCCAACATTAGTCTCCTGCTAAAACCAGGCAAAGACCCTTTATTTCCCTCAAGCTATCGTCCAATTTCTCTTTTAAATGTAGACCTTAAAATAATCTGCAAAGCACTCTCAAAGAGATTAGAGAAAATAACCCCCCTCTTAATTCATCCTGACCAAACTGGTTTCATAAAAGGTCGGCACTCCTCAACCAACACTCGTAGATTACTTAATTTAATAGACTACTCATACGATAAAAACATCGAAACCATAATATTATCTCTAGATGCAGAGTTAACTGGAAATTTTTATTCGCAACTTTACACAAATTTGGTTTTGGAAACTCTTTCATAAACTGGATAAGAATATTATACAATTCCCCAACAGCTCGTATCAGAACAAATGACCAGACATCCTCCAGCTTCTGTCTCCTGAGGGGCACCAGACAGGGATGCCCACTCTCTCCTTCACTTTTTGCAATTTTTATCAAACCTCTAGCAGCAGCATTTAGACAGGCTACAACAATTAAGGGCATAAAATGTAAGAACATAGAACATAAAATCAGTCTCTATGCGGATGATGTGTTGCTTTTTCTGCAAAACACACAAACCAACCTCTCTGAGGTAATTACTCTAATAAACTGGTTTTCAAGAGTTTCAGATTATTCAATTAACTGGCCAAAATCTACAGTTCTCCCCATTACAGTTTTTTTCTGAATGCTTAAACCCTAACTGTGATTCCTGTAGCACAATCTCTAAAACTATTCAGACTTATAGCAAAACCACTCACTGAGTTTGCAAAACTAAAAGCACAAAAACTGCTTTGCACTCAGTTTGCAATTTTGTAACACACACTTTGCAAAACTGTAGGCACAATTCACTGCACAACACTCAATTACCAAATTTCCAACACACTCCTAGCAAAAGTATACACATGTGTGGCTATCATTAACACTAATTTGCCAACTGTCTGGCACACTTCCACATGTGAAAACTGTCTTAGATAATTAGTTCACTTTGCAATCAGCCTAAGCACTATAATACAGGTAAGCTGTGTATGCGGAGTACAATGGAGGGAGCAGAAAGAGTGAGAAGTAGAGGAGGCCGAGGAAGAGGACGTGGAGTTGAAGAAGTAGGATGAAGAGGACGACAAGGACAAGGAGGAGCAAGAGGAAGACGAGAAGGGGGGAGAGGAAGATGAGGAGGGGGGAGAGGAAGGGTAGGAAGAGTAAGAAATAGAATTGCTGATGACATCAGAGCTACAATCAACTGTGGAATGACCCTGAGGGTAGCTGGCCAACGGGTCCAGCCTAACTCGAGCCGCTACACTGTAGCAAGTACCATAAGGACATCTTGAAATGAGAATCGGTGAGTACAGTCACTTCGCACAAAGATTTGTAGCACTGCCATATGCCAATGAGAAACACACCAATACCATTGATGTGAAAATACTGAAATTGTTACTTTACAGAATTGCTAGATGACCAGATGCTGGGGGCAGAGGAAGCATGTTCACTGCAGACCAAGTAACCCATATAGTCATTATGGCGATTGCAAATAATCCTATACTTGGAAATAAACACTTGTGTTTGTTTTGATGTGTTTGAATAAACACCAGTACTTGAAGTTTGGATCCCTCTATGCTTATGGATCTATGACAGAAGTATGAGCTCACACTGACATAGCCTACCTTGTGCACAGAGAAAGCAAAAGCCAGATGTGTTTTGTATTCATACCATCAGTGTGCAGTTGGCGCATTGTGTGCTTAGTAGATGATGGCTTGTGTGTACTGTTTGATACGGAAACACCATTTTTACGAAGGTGTGAAGAGTTAATCTAGCTGTGTTTGCTTTTGCAAGAGAACTACAATGTTTTGATTATTGGGTGACAGGTTTTCTTATTTGTGTGAAGAGTTTTGCAAAATTAGCCAATAGTTACAAAAAATGTGCTTAAGCAATCAGAAAAAACTGTAACTGCTCCTTCCATAATTCTTCCTCTGCCCCACTACAATCTGGAAATATTAAATATTTAGGTATTAATGTCTCTCCTAAGCTTTCAGACTTAACTAAATTAAACCACATCCCACTTCTAAAGAAAGTAGAAGGCGATCTGACTAGATGGAAATCTTTACCCATATCACTCATGGGAAGGGTCGCCACTATAAAAATGATGATCTTGCCAAAAATAAATTGCTTATTTTTGATGATCCCTAACAAACCATCACAAGATTGGTTCAGATCTCTGGATTCATATATTTCCAAATTCCTTTGGAAAGATAAACCCCCGCGTATCAGCTTAAAAACGCTACAATGAACCAAGGATAGAGGAGGATTAGATCTGCCTAACTTTCACCAATACTTCTTAGCCAACAGGCTTCAGTTCATCTCAGAACGGTTAAAACATACCTTCTTAGATGAGCCCTGGCTAGATGTTGAACAGGCACTATGCAAGGATCTAGAGATTTCAGACCAACCATTTATTAGCTCAAACATCAAAAGACATGAATGCTTTAAAAGTATCAACATCAGCTTTTCTCTGACAGCATGGTGGGAGTTTCTAAAAATAACGGAGTCTTCATTAATCCCATGCAAACGTACACCTATCTGGAATAACCCTGACATATCACAAAACAATAATATGATTAATTTCCCAGAATGGAGTTGTAAAGGAATTAAATACTTAGAACATATATTAGAGGGAACAGAATTTATTCCATTTGACAGACTAGTTGCACAATATGGGATCAACAAGAAAAGATTTTTAGAATGTCAACAAATTAAATCCATAGTAAAAAAGAAATTTAACCTCAGTCAAGTTGAATTACAAACACCACCAAGTGCGGCACATTTCCTTACTCTTAAATCCCCCAAATTATCATCTAAAATATACAGAACACTTTCTAAATTAGATGAATCAATATCCCTTCCTATTGCAAAGTGGGAAGCAGATTTATCAGTCAGCTTAGACCAAAACTTCTGGTCTCAGATTTGCTTAAAAACCTTTAAATTGATTAAAAATCCCAGTCTGCAATTAATACAATAGAAAATACTACATAGAGTGCACTATACAGGTCATCGGATGTTCAAGATGGGCTTTACATCTTCCAACAACTGCTCACACTGTCAAGGCAATACACCAGACAATTACATCCACGTTCTTTGGTTCTGTCCACCAGTGCAGAAGTTTTGGCACGAGATATGTGAAGACTTATCAACATAGGAGAGGTGGAGAATAAACTTAACCTGGGTGTCTGTTGTCTTGTGTAGTCTGGGAGACGATTGAATGTTGGGGTGGGTACAGGTTCCTCTGCGGTGGGGTAGGGTGGGCTGCCCCGGGTCCTGTGGGGCTTGGCAGTGCTACCGTAGGCCCCGGTCTGGATGGACCTGGGCTCCCTTGCCTTGGTGGGTACCAGAGGACGGGGGTGCCTACTGGGGTCAGCGGGGGAGCTGGCCCTAGGGAGGGGCATCCTCCCCTCCCTCCTTTTCCTCCCCATCCCCGGCTACCTCCCTCTTCCCGCTCCACCACACTCACCCACACAGGTAGGGCCTTTGGGTGTGGGTGTGTCACAGGGGTGCAGGGGAGACTCCCCCCCCCCCTCTGTCCCCTTCTGGCCACCTGTGCCTCAATTGTATCTCACAACTTAGACATCCACATTACTTACACTCTCATAACACACACATATATATAGGGCCTTGAGGGTGGGCACGTTAACGGCGTCCAGTGGACGGTCTGTGTACTCAAACCTACCTCTGGCGCTGGTGCCAGACCAGACCTTTTTTTCCTCCCCCCTTTCTCATTCCCTCTCCCCTTCTGTTTTTCCTTTCCTTCCTCTTTCTTTCTCCCTTTCCTATCCCTCACTCATGTCTGTCCCGTCTGTAACATCTGAAAATAAAATATAATAAATAATAAAAACAAAGGTCAATCAAATGGACCAATACGGCAATGCCACGATGATCCATTTGGCAAAGTAAATCCATTGGGTATCCTTGTTGGTCTTCAGACAACAATTCTGACGGCTAAAGAACCAAATGGGACAGGCAAAAAAAAAGAAAAAAAAAAAAGACATGCATTGTACAAATATGACTCATGTATATTTTGGAAGCCTGAATTGAAAGTCCATTGTTACAACTGTGTAGTATTTTCAAAAATACAGGTCATTGTTCAAAAATGTTTTGCTTATTTCTTTGATTGAAGAGAAAGTGTACAGTACATACAGTAAGATCAGCCTTAATTTAGTTTTATTTATTGAACACTCAATTATATATTAGATTATATATTATATATTAGAAATTGGTTATAAAATAAAATAAGCTTACCATAAAATAATCTTGTTAATATAACACATAGTAGTCCAATACAATTAACAAAAAAAGTTCATGTCTGATAAACAAGTGGTTTCTATAAATATTTGACCGGAACGAAAAACATAACAACAACATAAAAAAGGCATGTTTGTGTTACCAGAAAAATGTGTGCAGGTATAACATAAAAAACTAAGGTTAACCAAACATAACTTAATTTCGTGCAATCGATTACAATAATGTTTTATGTTTATCCCACTGATTATTTTTTTCAGTGTATGTACTACCAACTCATATGCCAATTAACTGTATTCATAACTCTCAATTGGTAGTCTCTTCAATCACTCACCTGGAATTTGAGAAAAGTTTATCTCAGGCCCCAAGATAAAGTCCTGTCCTGTGGTTGTTTTACCCATAGTCACAGAATGTCATTCACTTTCTCTGGGATGTGGTTGCCAAACTGCTGCATATCACTTATGGGCATACTTAGTTTTAAAACTTTTCATCTAACATCACAAAATGAACTGATTTTTCAAATATGTTTTATAATGTTTGCAAATTGTGTATGTGTGTCTGTATGTACCTGCAGTGTGTGTCCTCACACCAGAGTAGACACTATCTGGATCAGCAGAAGGTTTTTCTGGAAGATAAACAGAGATTAGATGCAAAATGTTTTCTCTCATAAAGAAACTCTATCAACTCTTAATGATTCCCTGCAGAGTACCCTTAATTCTTGCCAAAATGGCAGGTGAGTGCCTACAGTGTGGATGTCTATGGTTCAAGTACACTCAGCTCACCTCTCCTCTTGTTCTTCTGTCTGATGTTGACATCAGCATAGGTCACTTCTACAGGAGGAGGTGAAGTCTTGGTTACTGAGGAGGAGAGGAAAATCAGAAACAGACTCAAAACACCTCGTCCTTGTATGCAATGATGCATTACTGATTCAATGGCGGTAGATCCTTTAGGAATGCTGGAGTGATGTAGTTCAAGGGGCAGTGGCAAGTAGTGATGTGCGGATCGATCCTGAAATATCGATTCCTCCGATACCAGTCATTTATGTTTTAGAATCGATTCTCACATTAAAATATCGATATTTTTAGTAATTTCAGGTTAATTTGTAGTTTATCATTAACAGCAACACAGTGGAAAGAAACTATAACATTCGGATTGTCTACATTCAAAGGAACTACTTCCTCTTCCGCCTTTCATAGTCATGTGCGAAATACGGCTGTATAAATGTCTCGCAGCCCCTTGGCGCGCGCACTCACAACAATGGCTGAGCATAATTGTGCGGACGTATTTTACCTCCACAAACAGCTGAGACATGGTTTGCGATACATGTGGCAAAAAAGTGCTCCAAGAGTGAGGTGTTGTGGCTATACTTCCCCAACCTTGAGACCTCAGAATTAGGGAGACAATCAAAAGGGCACATTTTACAGGGTTTATTTATGGGATAAAATACGTTAAATGTCACCGAAACAGCGGGGGTGTCCAAATTCAGAGGCTGCTTCCACCTGAGGACCCGCCCTTCGCGGTCTAATGAAAGCAGGGTAGTACGTCTTGAGTTCCCTGGGTGGAGTGAAACTCAGTCGTCTGCTCCTTGCTCTCTAAAATATAACCGGGCACTGGCGTAAACTTTCGACCATCTCACACTTTCTTTAATTAGTTTTCTGTTTGACGTTTATTCAGCTGTGTGAAAACCCCGGAGGAACCCACCCTGGGGATTAATAAAGTTAAATTTAATTTAATCTAATCTAATAACTTTAATCTCAGCCAAACTGATTTACTCACGAACAAACAAAACACTGAAAAAGCCAAACAATAACATTTTTAAGTTATCAAAGTGACTTATATATCATGTTTAACCCGAGTAGTGAAAGCCTGCGGGGGTTTGAAGACGATATGTCGATCGGCTCAGATATTTGAAGTTTACACAGCTACATTCTCACCTGAAAACATGTTAAAAGTTTTTTGCGACCCAGAAAGAGAAATAAGAGTAATATTAGAACTAAGTAGCTGCCGCCATTGTTGGAAACTGGAATTGGCTCGGCCGCGCTATGAATTCTGCAATATGGTTTTTCAATTTTGTTGTCCAGGTGGAAATTCGGGAGAATGGTGGCTCCGGGATTCTCCCGGAAAAATCGGGAGGGTTGGCATGTTTGGTTGTGGCAACATCACTAACCTTGTCAAACACCTCAGAGTAAATCATATCACAGAATATGAGGCGCGTATGTTGAGACGAACTGAAGAGGAGGAGAGGGACAGGTGCTGCTAGGGAGAGACACACGTCTCTCACAGAGTCATTTAATGCTGCAGGCAGGCAACGTGCTCAAATAGCGCACAACTTCAGGTTTTTTTATTTCTATATGATGAACTCTGCATTATTAAGTGATAAGAACAAGTAATCTGATGTCCTGTAATCATTATGACGCCATAATTTAAGATACAATAAATAAAATACGTTTTTTTGTATAAAGTATCGGTATCGGATCAGTATCGTCGATACCACCCTGAAAAGTATTTGGTATCGAATCGGAAAGGAAATCAGTGGTATCGCACATCAGTAGTGGCAAGTGACACTGGTTGGTATTGCAAGTAACTAGGAATGGGAATTGATTCAGAGTCCGTTATCGTGAAGTACACGGGATGGAATACCCAGGATGCAGACTCTCAGATGGAAAACACAGCTTTATTGCTGGATTACAAAATACAAAAACCCAACTGGAAGGGACTAGAAAACTAAGCTAGCAGGCAAAACACACTGGGAATCAGGGCAAAGAGCAAACACCAGGGCTTGACATAATCTAACTGACAAGACATTTGAAGCAAATTAAAATGATGCACCCTAGATTGAGCATCAGTGGAAAGTGAAAAGTGGAAAGTACCGAAACCCAGGGAATAAAGGGAGGATAAAGAGGGTAAGGTGGAGGAACAAAGAGTAATAGCTCTGGAGGCCGGCCGCCAGGCCAGTGGGGCTGGACTGGGGGCCAACGGAGGCAAAGGAACACCTTAGGTGGCTGGGTCGGACTGCCAGTCATAGGACCAGCAGTGGTGAAGGAATAGTTCTGATGGCAAACCACAGGACCAGTGAAGCTCAAGCAGAGACGAGGCAGGGCCAGATGGTGCGATAACCTCTGGCACAGTTTAAGCAGGCTCTAGATACACAGGCCGGAGCTACGCAGGGATCACATCAGGCTCTGGTCATGGATGTCTTTCAGGCTTAGTCACAGAGGCCTGATGCCTGAGGGATGTGGCTGCGTGAAGGCTGTGGGCTGGGCAGGCTCGGCTGTGCTGAAAATCATAGCCCCTGGGGTGGACGAAGGCCACCCCGAGTTTCTTGGTTGACACGTCTCTCAAATGTTCCGTGGGGATCAGGGGCAGTACCCTTGGACTGGTAGACCGGGGTGGTGGTCCCCATCTTTAAGAAAGGGGACCGGAGGGTGTGTTCCAACTACAGGGGAATCACACTCCTCAGCTTCTCTGGCAAAGTCTATGCCAGGGTGCTGGAGAGGAGAGTTCGTCCGTTAGTCGAACCTCGGATACAGGAGGAACAATGCGGTTTTCGTCCTGGCCGTGGAACATTGGACCAGCCTTTTACCCTCTCGAGGATACTCCAGGGTGCATGGGAGTTTGCCCAACCAGTCTACATGTGTTTTGTGGACTTGGAGAAGGCATTCGACCGTGTCCCTCGGGGGGTCCTGTGGGGGGTGCTCCGGTAGTATGGGGTGTCTTGCCCATTGCCATTGGCCATTCAGACCTTATACAACCGTTGCAAGAGCTTGGTCCGCATAGCCGGCAATAAGTCCGACTCATTCCTGGTGGGTGATGGGCTCCGCCAGGGCTGCCCTTTGTCACAATTCTGTTCATAATTTTTATGGAGAGAATTTCTAGGCGTAGCCAGGTAGCGGAAGGCTTTCACTTTGGTGGTCTCAGGATCTCATCTCTGCTTTTAGCAGATGATGTGGTCTACCAACCACCTCTGTTTCCCATGGTTGAAGGTGAGCATACAGTTCTCCCTCTGAGTATGTGGTGGGGCAGAAGGTATGGTTCTCCACTCGATTTGTGCCCTTATGTGCGGAAACTAAAAAACTTCCAACTTCATTGGCCCGTTTGAAATCAGTGCTATAATCAACCCTGTTTCCATCTGACTGAAACTGCCGCGCAATATGCATATTTATGATGTTTTCCATGTCTCTCAGGTCAAGGCAGTGCTCTCCAGCCCGTTGTGCCCTTCTTCCAGGCCCCCACCACCCCGGCTCGTGGATGGCCAGCTGGTTTACAACATCACCTGCATGTTTGACTTCTGACGCTGCGGTACGGGATTTCAGTACCTGGTTGATTGGGAGGGCTACGGGCCAGAGGAACATTCCTGGGTGCCCTGGTCGGCTATCATGGATAAGGGAAAGCTCCGGGAATTCCACCGCCAGTGCCCAGGTAAGCCTGCTGGGTCACCTTGCTCTCTCCTGTCTCTCTGCCTGGCTGGAGCTTAGATTGGGATCCTGCCCTTGGCCTACACACCTGCAGCTGATCACCAGTGATTCTGCATTTGATCTCTGGCTCTTCTTAAGGGAGGGGCTCTGAGCTGATCGTCGCTGTAATATTGAGTAACTCTCGTTACTATTGCCCGGCTCTATAGCAATTCTTTTGTAAATAGGTTTGTCTGGATCTGCCCGCATTGTGGCCCCTGGACACCTTCACTAAAGCTGTTTCTGTGCTGGGGACCGACCGTGCACATGGCCACGGCGGGCAAACAGTTCAGGAGGCCGACCGTGCACACGGCAACAACGGGCAAACAGTTCTGGAGGCCGACCTCTTGGAAGGCAGTGGCGGCCACTGAGCAGGTCCGGAGGACGGTCGCGATGCCAGCGGCGGCGACGAACTTTTTCCGGAGGTCGTCCCCGAAGGCCACGACGCCATTCTAGAGGCCCGGAAAACGGCCGGCAGAGGCGAGGCGGAACGGGTCGAGCCGGCTCCGACGGCGGTGTGGCAACCGCAGGACCAGACGAGGCGGGACCAGACGAGGCGGGACCAGACGAGGCGGGACCAGACGAGGTGGGACCAGACGAAGGCGGAGCCGAGGCCGGACCAGGCGTGGATGAAGGCACGGAGGCTGGACCAGGCGTGGATGAAGGCACGGAGGCTGGACCAGGCGTGGATGGAGGCTGAAGCGGAGGCTGGACCAGACGAGGCTGAAGCGGAGGCTGGACCAGACGAGGCTGAAGCGGAGGCTGGACCAGGCGTGGATGAAGGCGCGGAGGCTGGACCAGACGAAACTGAGGCTGAAGCGGAGGCTGGACCAGACGAAGCTGAGGCTGAAGCGGAGGCCGGACCAGGCGTGGATGACGGCAGCGGGACGGCTGCGGAACCTGACGGCAGCGAAGCTGCAGGCGGTGATGCGTATGGTGATGATGTGAATGCTGTAGGCGGTGGCGTGAATGCTGCAGGCGGTGATGTGGATGCAGGCAACGGTGTAGGAGTCACAGGGGATGATTCAGCAGATGGTAGCTGAACAAACTTCCCCGGACCGCCAGCAGATGTGAAGATGTGCTGACTGGGTCCCCCAGGACCCTCAGCTAACGAGGCGTGGTGCTGGGTGGGCTCCTTGGACCCTCCAGCAGACGTGGCTTGAGGCTGGACGGGCAACCTCGGGCCCTCCAGCAGACGTGGCTTGAGGCTGGACGGGCCCCTCGGGCCCTCCAGCAGACGTGGCTTGAGGCTGGACGGGCTCCTCGGGCCCTCCAGCAGATGAAACATGAGGCTGGCTGGGTTCTCCAGAACCCCCAGCAGACGAAACATGAGGCTGGCTGGGTTCTCCAGAACCCCCAGCAGACGAAACATGAGGCTGGCTGGGTTCTCCCGAACCCCCAGCAGA